AGTATGGATTGGTGGGATGCATGCCCTAATTGAAAGTTAAGTTGTCACGACCTGAACCCGCCCCTGGAGATTTAGGCCATGACCAGTTAGTAATCATAGATTACCTACGGCCTCAAAGACAAAAATCAGTTGTTTAACAATAAGCGGGGCTTAGTGGAAGCAAACTTTGACAATAAAAACAAGTCCATTGAGTTGTGCTTACGTGATAAACTACAGCATTATAATCATTGCATCCAAACTTGTAACATTTACAATAAATTTTAACTTTAACATATACATACATATAATTCCATACATCAAGACTTCCAAAACAAAAGACTTTAATAAACCAAAAACAAAAAGGGTTTAACAAAAGCTTGGCTCTTCAAAGTCCAAGCAAATGCCTCAACTCAGAGGCACTCCATAAACAGCTTCTCAAGAGGAGGTGGACTCCCAAGGCAATCTTAAGCATGATCTTCCATATGTTCAACTACATACGCATAGAGGGAGGGGGTGAGCTAAAGTCCAATGAGTAACATTAATATAAAGGGTTTAATAAATGAAGTCCAACATAATTCAAAACATGTCTTTCAATTCCAAAACAATTGATATAATGAGTTCATATCAATCATCTGCTTTAGTAATAAACATTATCATACATGGTAACATTCAATAGAATAACAATGGGGCCAATAGGCCAAAATCAATGGAACCACATTGGTCAATACAATGGGACCATGTAGGTCAAACAATGGGACCACAATGGGTCAATCAATGTGGACCGCTAGGATCTAACATCAGATATCTCTGTGCTTTAATTAATCCATGGGCCATGGTATTATGTCCCCCAACAGGGCCTCACTAAAGGATACCACGAATACATTTTCAAAAAGGACATTCATTCATAGATATAAGCTAAGATTCCAAAACATCAATTTTGAACAATTCAAAACATATTTTGAACATATCTTTATAGAGATAGTACTCACAGTGGGCTTGAACAAATGCCAGACTTTGGGTGTCCAACTTACACAAAACATATAACAAATACACATTGAAACATATCATTCAAACAGATACCTTTTCTTTAATCTAATTCCCTAGATGGGTTTCTAGCTTCTTATTTCCTTAATGAAGCTTAAACAATGCCTAAGAATGCTCAAAAGAATATCGAAGTAAAAAAAATAAAAAAATAATAATTTAAAAAAAAAACATGCAAATGAGAGTGTTCTTCAAAAGTTGCTGGAAATAGGGTGTTCGCTTGAGTGGACCTTTGGTCGCTCGAGCGATGTGCAAGAAAAAATTGAGTTAGCTCGAGCGGACTCTTGCTCGCTCGAGCTATAGGCAAAGCTTTGCAAAAATATTAGATGCTCACAATGTGCACTCGAGTGACGACTTTATCACTCAAGCGATGAGGCCAAATTTAGGATTTCAAAACTGAAAGTTTAGGTTCTAAAACATGAGTTTGATGTTCAAAAGCTTGGATGGCTGGTTCAAACACATGGAAACACTTGGGTAAACATGAAAATATAATCAATTTGGAACCTTTAACTCAAAACATTATGAATTGAACAAAATTGAACTCAAAACTTCATACATGTAAGGGTTGTTTTCAAACTCTTTTTCAAAGCTTTTAAAACATGAAATTAAACCTTTAAAACTTTGTAAATCAAGGATGCATGTGTAATTCAACCCCCAAATTCAATAAAGCTAATAAAATTCATGCTCAAAATGATGAACGATCACATATTCAACCAAGCATATACCTCTAATTCAATTATCATCATCTTTCTAACAATTTCTTCAAGAATTCATTAGCTAGATAGATAATCTACATGAATTAGGGTTCAAATCATTACCTAGAGTCTTCAATTTAGTATGTTCTTGCAAAATCTTGATCTTCTCTAGCCAATTCTTCAAATTCTTGGACTTCTCTCTCTAAAACTTGAACTCCATCCCCCTCTCTCTCTCTCTCTCTCTCTCTCTAAAGCTCCTCCAGCAAAATAACTCAAGAATGAGCCCAAATCTCTTCTTAATTGAGGGTTAATTAAGTATATTTAAGACTAATTAATCTCACTTATATCTAATTGATTATTCCTAATTATTTTAAGCTGAATCAAATTTTAATTAAACTTTTCAAAAGGCTCTAAATAGTAGATGAAACTAATTATCTCAACTCATATAGCTGTCAATTTCTGATTCAGAACAAAATTCCTAATAGATACTTCACAAATCAAACTAATAACCCCTAAAACCCCTAAACCACACACAAAGCACATGACGTAGATGAACAAAACAAAGCTTGAGATTGTTGAAATCGTCTGGTCTCTTCAAATATAGGTATTTGTTTTTCTAAAATCGTCTTTATGATGATGGGGAATTGCTTGAATTCAAATTGCTTGAGATTGGTTGAGATTGCTTGAAATTTGTTTAAAATTGCTTGATTATTGGTGTTGTTGTTGTGATTATTGTTGTCGTTGTTTTAGTATTTTCTTCTTCTTTTTTTCTTTTTCTTTTTTTTAATTTTGTTAAAAAAAATTTATTTTTTGTTTAGGAGAGTTTTGCGAGGAAAGGATGAGGAAGGGAGGGAGAGAAGGAAGGAAAGCAGATTGGGATGATGATTTGGCATTTGCAAACATTGCTATTGAAGAAAATAACACGGGTAATGATATTACCTAAAACAAAACGGTTTGGATCAAATACTTGAATTATGAGCCTTTTTTGAAAAACTCTCGATCGTCAATTGAGAAACTACCAGAACTGAGAGAAAAATTTTGCAGAAATTTTTCAAATAAACTCCTACAACAATAATATATTATTTTCTCTATATCAAATATATAGAGATTCTTTTTTGATAGAGGGGGAGTTGTAGTCTTCCACAACTCAAACACCTCCTAAAAGATAATTTCTTAATTATCTTATTTATAAATCCTGTAAATAAACAATCCATGTTGACGCTCCATGGATTATGGATCGGATCACATCCAATCCAATTTCCAACAGCTATAATGCCACTAGAAACCTCTTTTTTCCAACTCTTGCTAAATTTTGACAATGACAATGTCAATGCTCTTAGCAAAGAGAGTTGAAAAAGAAAGTTGCTAACTTGGTAGATAGAGAAGTTTTGGCCTTGCAGATGGAGATTGAAACAACCCAAACCACCTCGTTTAATAGCATAACAGTGATGGTTGTGCATTAAGTACAGGTCTAAGTGCTTCTAACATACTTGCCCAAATAAGCTATATTTATATTTAATTAATAAATTATTTGAAACTTTATTTTAATTAGTGGATTTTGAAACATGTTGCAAGTATTCTCCAAAAATAAATAAATAAATAAAATTAATAGGTCAGATTTAGCATTCTAATTATTTTAATTTGAATAATTTGATTCTTACATTTTTTAATTTCTTTCAATTTGATCCTTCCGTTCACATTTTCATTAATTTTTTTTTACGTTTATATCTCAAAAGATTGACAAATGTCTTAAAACCATTAGTTTTAATTTTTAGCTTGAACAAAAGAATCAAATTGAAACTAGACTTTAAATATAGAAATCAAATTGGTCAATTTAAAATAATAGAGATCAAAATAAAATTTGAGTCAAACCACATTAACTAAAATTGCAATTTACTGTTTATTTTATGAATAATGCTATATGCACCAATTAGTGTACTAACTAGTATACTGATTGATGATGTGGTATAATTTAAGAGATTTTTGGGATTTATAATGTGATTAATGAGTGGAGTCAATAATAATATCATAACTAGTATTGGTACACTAGTTAGGCCTCGTTTAGCAAGTAGCTATTTTAGCCTAAAAGTCAAAAAATTACTAAAAAAATCAAAAAGCCTATAACCTATACCAAAAAGTCAAAGATTTTATTTTTTCTATACTTTTTGCACATCTTTTTGTAAAAAATCAAAAAGTTACTCCAAACATACTAGTTTTTTTTATCTCATATTTTAGCCAAAAAGCTAAAAAGTTACTAAAATAGCATGTTCTCAAACGAGACCTTAGTACACTAATTAATACATGTAGCACCACCGTTATTTTATTTGTTTTTCGTAGCCACAAGGTGGGAGTTAAATTTGCGAGAGGAGGAGAATAAGTAGGAAAAATAATACTAGGGATTATGAAAAAAATTATCATGAAATGTTTCACGAAGATTTTTCATCATTTAATCAGTGTGTTGTGATCTATTATATATGTAATCTAATGATAAAGAATCTTTCATGATAATTTTTTTTATGATTCTTAATATTATTATTGAGCATCAAATCATCTGTATTATATAATTCATAGCTTTCTATGCAAAGATTATGCTGCTTCATGCTTCAAGAGAATTCTTCCAAAAACAAAGACTGAAGCAGATGAGTCTCTCTAACAAACTAATTTTCTTGAATTCCATTCAGTATTAGCCTTCAATCTGAAGAAAGTTGAATCCTACTATGAATTAAGTAGATAAAATAAGAACACAAGGATTTATAGAATCCTGATCTTTGGAGAGAGAGAGAGAGAGAGAGAGAGAGAGAGAGAGCCTACCAAATCAAATCTTTAGAAAGAAAACCAGTGTCCGTCTCTCTCCCCTTGTCCTTTTTTTTTTCTTTATTCTGATGCATTTGTTAGACTTGCTCTTAATTTGTTTGGACGCAAAAATAATTTTCAAAAAAAAGAAAAAAAAAATTAACATTTTCTGACTTTTGATCTAACAGAAAATGAAAATCAATGGAAAATATTTTCTATAATAGCCAACAAAAAACAAGCTTATTTAGGTGAAAAATATTTTTCACTTTTAAAAGGTGAATGCCACCACACAACCACGGCCACGGCCACCATCACTGTCACTACCTCCGCACCACCACACCCTACCAACTCCACCTCCACCCTGTTGCCACCACACCGCCACAACTAATATAACTATTAGTACATTAGTCTCAATAATGCAACCAAATATAAGAAAAGGTTTTCTACAAAAAACATATTTTGAAAAAAAAAAAAAAAACTACGTAAAAAATATTTTCTACCAAAACAAACAAAGTATTAATTCATGATTCTGACATTAGCGAGAGTATTGTCAAATTCGGAATTACAAAGGAATATTGAGTTCTCCAAAAAAAAGGAATACATTGCCTCAGTCCGATACACAAACCAAATAAATCAATCAATCAATTGGTCCTAAAGTAGCACTTCGTCAACGTAATTTGCAAAGTGTCCTACTATATTATTACTAATAAAACAGATTGATGATGTTCGCATGATTGATTACTCGGTTTAAAAGGCAGATCCTAATTCAATTCTATGCATATAGTGTTAGTTGTCTGGCTGCAACATTCCAGCAATAAATTGATCATCTGCAACTATATGAATCTGGTCTCTTATGCACAAACCATACCAAGTCCAAATAAACAGAAAGAAAATAAAACAACTAAATCTATATGGAAGTGTTTCAAATTTGAAAGTATTTTACCTCGGAAAAGCCTGAAATGTTCTTCAGTCTCCTTGTTTGTACCCAGTGTTATTTAGTTACTTGCATACCAGAAACGTGATCATGCACCTCATTGGGTCAAGCAATATAAGCCATTATAACTCCCAAACTCAAGTGAAGGCGCTTTGGTATTGTACATATACCAAGACACTTCACCAGCTAAACAAACTGGCTACCATCTTCATCATCTTCCAAAACATCCACATTACAAATCCTTGCAAAATAATTTCTTTTTAGCTTTCAATTACAATGGGTCAGCATGGGTTGTTTCATTTAGAAAGAGACAACCAAACACATGATTATAGAAGTCGCGAGCTTTCATGATTTCACCTCCTTTAAATATAGCCTCCATATCATACTTGCATGCTCTAGTACAGTCAGGGCAGTAGGTCACCTACACTTGCAGAAAAACACATATTACTTTCAATTAAAGAATACGGAAAAATTTCAACTTTAAAAACAGGAACAGTCAGATTTATGGGATACAAGTTTAGCATCTCTTCAAATAGATATGTTGTAGAATTTTGAGTAAAGATGTAACTAACACTCCGTTTGTTTCGCATAAAACATTTTCCTATGTTTGGTTGTAACCTTGAAACTAATGTGCTAATGGTCTTATTAGTAGTGGGGTGCTGGCGTAGAGGAGGAATGTTGGTGGCAGTAGCGGTGGCAGCGATGGTAGTGGCAGTGGCGGTGGAAGTGGCTGTAGCGGTGGCAGTGGCGGTGGTGACGGTTGTGGTGGTCATGGGATGGTGGAGGGTTTGATGGTGCTAGTGGCACTAGTTTCTAATCAGGCAAGCATTTTCCACATTTGAAAGTAAAAATATAAGGTTTTCTGTACAAATGCCAGAAAATACGAAAAATATTTTTCAGAAAAAGAAAATGTTTGCACTGAAACAGAGTGCAAGCGTTGGAATTTGAAGCAAAAGCAAATAAAGCTACATACTGTTCACTTCAGCTGGCCATAGCCCAATTTATGAGAAGAAGAGTGTTAAGCAATTCATTGAAGCACAAAGTCTAAACAACAATACCTCAATGGTGAAGATCATGACCGTAGAAGGGACTTAACAGACAGGAAAATGGCAGGACTCGATGATAACCTAGCAGAAACTTCTAGTTCACTTTTTACACATGCAAGGGTCCTAGGGCAATAACCATGGATTGGTGTATCCAATGTTCTCCACACCTTTCTACAGTGCCAGATTGCTCTTCAGGTCCATTAAATTGTATCAAACATAAGAGGAAATGTTAGTCACACACCTCTAATAACTTTGGCTGGAAATGACAATCAAGCATAACATCGACGCCATATATGGCCCGAGATTGTGAACTCTGCATTTCTGGGTGCACTACTGCAGCTGACTCAAAAACTGACCGGATCATCCTTTTGACTCTCACATGGATATCCCACCATTTAACTGCAACAAATACAACAATTTGCATTGACAATTTATTCAAGAATGCAACCAATGTTGCATTTGCATTTCATTTAACGGAAAGGCAAAAGAAAATTAGATAGGCAGGTACTAATACCTTGGTGTTCCTTTTCAAACTCCCTAACAAATTCTGGTGTGTTCATGTGATTCAACTTCCCCCTGTAGTTCTGTTGGCCACAAAAGTGATTATGAGGGTGAACTTGTAATTTGCATCAAAATAGTGAAACCAAACCTCCCAACAAAAAGAAAAAACCAAATTAATTAGGGTGTGTTTGTATCATTTTCATAAACTGTTTTCTGTTTTTGAAAATAAATACACTGATATGGACAACTTGTTCAGCAAAGTATTTCCAAAACTGATTTTGAGAAAATTTTAGATTAGGAACCACATTTAAGTTGTTTAGCAAACTTCTCAAAAGCTATTTTTTCACAAAAATGTGAACTATATAAAAATGATGCGTGTTTTCAAACTTTTCATTGTGTTTGCTTTAAAAAATATAAAAGATAAATCAAAAGATAAAAACATTAAAATGAAAATGATACCAAACAGACACCAGTTTCCATTTTATCTTTACTCTGCTCCAAAACTTGGGCAGTCAAGCAACCAGGAATAAACAAAAAAAAAAAAAGCTAATTTAGTGCTTAGGACTTACCATAACAGTGAAATGAGTCTCATATTCAGAAAAGCTGCGCTTGTCTAAAGAATATGGATTGTTTGCTAATCTAACCTGAAAAGGAAACGAAATTACAGCTCTAAGATGGGCATCCATAATGTATAAAATATATTACATTCCAAACTAAAAATTGGGATAAAAGTCCCGTTGCTAACTCTGACTGCTGATTCTATATCTCTATGTGTGTGTATGTGTAAATATGACTGCTAACTATTTAAAACAAAATGTGAAACATTGGTTCTCAAGGTTATAATTTTTAAGGTCCCTATGTCTTCAGATACATGGTAATGGCCTACAAGTTTAGTCCACAGAGATATGTACGTACCCAAAAAACATCAGAAAGGAATATTTCCAAGGGGTCGATACTGCGAACCAGAATGATGTAACGGAGATCAAATTTCTTCCCTCTGAACAATGCAGGGTATTCTATATACTTCTGACATACTTTTGGACCAGTCTCCATGAGTCGAATAATGGCTGATAAATTACCAGTTATAGTTGTATCAATAGTTCGTGCCATGTTCCACGGTTTTAAGATCCATAGATTGTCAAGTCCATCCCTTTTGCGTACATAATAGTCACCAATCAGATGAGTTAGCTGTGTTTCAAGATTGTAAGTAGACTGCAACCAATCTGGATATCCATATGCCTGTTGGGAAAGAAATTCAAAAAATGAGCAACATTATGATTTATGAATAAGCGATTCAAAAAATACCACTCAGTTTTTGTTCCTGACAAATCAATCGTGTCATACAAAATAAGTGAGCTATCAAGACCTTCTGAACAGTTTCTGCTAGATGATGTTTCATTACAAGACAAGCCTCAAAAGGAAATTGATTTATGTATTGTTGATCTGTCAGTCCAGCAGCCACCTTCATTTCCTCATCCACCTGCATACCTGTCCATATTATATCTGCATCCTTTGGATCAGTACCTGCAATTAGAAAATCAGAATGGAAATTGTCAAGGCATAAAATAGTGAAACCATTATAAAAATATATATATAATAAAAATAAATAATTGAGCATATCAATTTAGGTGACTATATAACCCATACTAAGAACAATCATGAACCTAATGAAATGGGGCTAGGATTTTGTAGAGGACTGCAGTCAAACAGATTTAGCATGTGTAAAATTCCAAATTAACAAAGCAATAAAATTCTATAAATAAACAGGATATCTCAAACAAGTAGAGAACATATTTATATATAGATAACAAAAATGAAACTTTAAAATAAAAAATAGAAATTAAGCTGGCATTTAATCACTATACATACTGATTTCAAATTCTGGGCGTGTCAAAAGTTCTTCCACATGAGGTATATCTGTGTAGACACGTAAAGGGCTTCCATCATTACACAGCAAACTATTGGTTGTGCATGGCTTCATGGGCGGGGAGACGAAACTTGTTGATTGCAATTTTTGCCTGCATTTCTCATATTGCTGAAGAATTGAAGTGAATCAATTCCAAAATATAGTGAATAGTGACAATTTAAATTCATAATAATACAGAGGAAATTCAAATTAGTCGAGGAAAATGCGTACTTCAATAAAATAATTTTGTGGTGTATGGAACCAAGCAGTAAGTCTGGCAGAACGTTGCTTCTCCTCTCCAATACCACATAGAAAATCACGAGTACACTCATCACCTTTTTGAACATTCTGGGTCGGCCATAGAATTGAAAAGCTGAAAATATACTTAAAATTAACAATTGCCCAACAAATGTCAGTTGCTGAATTAACTCCAAACGAAAAGTTGCAGCTGTACATAAGGACAGAACACATGTCCATGCATTGAGCATAGAATTATCAAGGTACTAGACGTTGTTGCATAAATGAATCCAGATATCCAATTATTTACCTAACAGAAATTAGAGTTTAGTATTGCAAAGCAACACAGTATATATCAAAACCTTCATACAGAATTTGAGTAATGAAGCTTCTTGAAACAAGAAGTAAAACAACAACCAAAAAAGAGAACCTTACAGCTGATGCCAGTTTACCATCTGGCATGTAGAGAAAAGGTGACACTCTGAAATTTGGCTCATCACTATGCCGCAAAGCTGAACCTAGTTCATCCATCACATACCTAGAAGCACATAAACCAAACAGTGTTCAATGAGTATATAATAAAAAATAGAAGCCAACCAAAAATTACAAAACACATGTACTTAACTAGATTGCTTTTTCTCTATATAATTTGATCAATCAATAGGTGCTTCCCAGAAAAGTACAACAGACTTACAAAACATATCTGCCAGTATTTTCCAATTAAACTTTTATACTCCAGTAATATCATGTTATCAACACAACAACACTTCATATAGTTTAATACACAGTCAACTGTGGAAGGATTGACAGGAGGTGAGAAGTTCACCAGGGAGTGGCAAAACGACGTCAGACACCAAAAGCCTATGTTACATGGACTCAGGTATCAGGTGCGGGTGCAAGCATCAGATTTTTCTGAGCCTAAATCTTATGATATGGAGATATACATTCAAAAGTCAGGTATGTGTACGGGTGAACACGTCTTACATAGATGTTGTTTATTATTTAGAACTTCAAATCAAATGGAATTCAGGGAAAATATGAAATTAAAGCATTCAAACATCATCTAAAACTAGAGGATTCATGTCTAAACTAAATTGAGTACAGGTGTCGGACACATCCCACACCATTACCCTTGTCATATCCGCCAGGCACGGGTACACTAGGAGAAGTAGAAGAGTCCATGTAACATAGCCAAAGGCAAATGTGATTATTAAGAGAGAGATGGAGCAGTCCAACCACGAGAGAGAGAGAGAGAGAGAGAAGTGGTGCAGACCTCGACTGAAGTTGATAACTTCTAACTGCGATGTAATGAAAGTACCACCTTATATATATAGGAGGTGAGCACTTGGTTATAACTAACTGTTCGCAACATCCACCATAATTTTTTAGGGGTCTTATAAGAAGTCCATTTTATCATAAGGATTACGTCATGATTACTGAAAAGGCTAGAAGTGAAGTCTATCTCACAGTAGGGCTAGCCAAGGGTAGCCCGACCAACGTGGAGCGCGGCGCTGCAACGAAGCCTCCATTGTTAGCCTCATAGCCAAAAGACCTAGAATCCCATAGGTCGAGTGATGGTTATCGAAATGTACACATTTAGGCCGTTTAAAATATACTTGTTAGGTCCTTTAATCATTGTTACTTGATGATTTTAATATGTTTGTGTGCAGGTCACTCAAACTTATGAGTAGAAATCAGACTTAATTTCATATTTGAAACCCGAGACCAAGCTCCAACTCAACTCTGAAAGCCTAGAAGAATCTAAATAATTTTAATCAAGTTAGAAAGACCCAACCCATGAAGTTTGAAGAAATAAAGTTAGATTTGTTGCAATCCCGCTAGAAGAGTCACTCTGCACCTATGAAGCACAGATACTCCAAAAAGGTAACGTACAAGTATCGGATACGCATCGAATACTAACAGAACTTTTCAAAATGTGGGTTCTAAAACCACTTGTGTAGGTCAGGGTTGAGAATTGAGGGGGTGTGCCCTAGCCTTGTCGGCATACGGATACGCGTCCGATACAAGGGATATATATCGGATACGGCAAATAAGTACCTGATTTTTTTTTTTAATTTCAGATACGGGAGGGATACATAAAGGATACTTGAGAGATTAAGTAGGATACAGGAGAATACGCTAGGGATACACCAAATACGCTTGGGACACGCCAAATAAGTATCCAATTTTTTTTCTTCTAATTTTTTATTTTTTATATTTTAATACGCCAAATAAGTATATAATTTTTTTCTAATTTTTTATTATTTTATATTTATATTTTTTTCAATGGTTAATACTATCTGCTCTCAATTCTTTTTTCCCTTTTTTTTTTTTCAACTATTCCATGATTGAACTCATACTTTTGATAAGGTCCTATATTAACTTGGATTAATTGCCAGAGTGTTTGAATTGACAGTAGATAAAGAAATTGAGTAAATCCAGAAGCATTAGATTAAGGCTTGAAACACAATATGTTGGAGTAGCTGCGTGGATTATTCATAAAGAAGCTATTAAGAACCTAAATAGTGAGTACTTCCTTAGGTTTAATTGTTAATTGAACGCTAACAATTAATGGGATTAAGGGTTGATTGAGGGAATGTAAAGGGTTTTGGGGATTAAAAGTGCATTTTGAGGCTGTAATATTAAGCTGGAATCGGCAAGAGGAAAGTGAGGAAGACTAATTTGATTCCTTATAGAAGAGGTTACCAGAATTCCAATACGTACACAACCAAATTCCATACATCAGCTTCTATTTGAAAATTATACATTTGAGCATTATTATTTATAAGCTGCAGATATTATCTACTTCATACAAGGAAAATCACAACTATAGGTTAATACCATCATTCATGTCTGTCATGTCATGTCATATTGCATATTTTGTCTTGTAAGCTTGCTTTTGTAACTGGACTTGTTCTGGTTAGTAATCTTGCGTTTGTTGTCTTGATGCTATCATGTTTTCCCAATGTTGTGCATCTTTGCTTCCTGTTCTATCTATGACGTTAGACGCCCAAGGTCATCGACGAATGCTTAGGCGAATGCGAAACCTAGGTCATAGTTAAAGCTCATTCTCATCACGAACCTAGGTTATGTTGCACTAAGTGCGCGCTAGGTATCTATCAACTAGTCAAACATTAAGCCTATCACACCCTTTGAACGTTTAAACCTGAAGAGGCCATGTTCTTGGAAACCCTTGGTTGATACTCTTACACACGCCGTCACGTCTTAGTGCTAGTAGCCCGAAAGGAATTGTTTACTTAAGTTCGATCCTAATCCGGCACATTAATTGGGTAAGACTGGCGGAATGACGCTTACTCGACAGGTGTTGCAGATCTAGAGCCGAGTGGTGCGAGCTTAGTCAAATGGTTGTCGCTTCCTAGCGAGTATGTCAACAAATCAGCAGTTGCGCAGATTTATTGTGAGTTAGCCATATCCAATTGCCCTTGCCGATATCCGATAGCTACTAGATACGCTTGGTACAGGGCGCTGTCTATGTATATCTATCACTTTGTGAAGAGAACCAACCAACAGTGCGAAGTTCCCGATGCTGAGAGTTAAGTCAGCGCTAGAGAGAGAAGCCTCATTTGTTGTACTTTTGAAGAGAGGAGACAAGCTACATGAAAGAGTGAGAAAGTTCTTAGAAGAGAAGTGGATTCAAGCTGTTACTCGTTTGAGATAGATTATCCGTTAATCCGTGGTGTCCAGTATGATTAGATCGCATCGCTTTGTTGTTTTTGAGTCAATCGTATATTTTAGAGTTATCGCATTGCAATGATCATATATTTTACTTGTCAAGACTATGCTGTGAAGTCGGCTTTTAATGAAAGGAGAAAATTTATTTCATGTTTTCAAGAAAAGTCATGGCTCATAATCCGTATGGCTCAAAATGCCTAGATCATGTTTGTGTTTGTTCTTGCAACTGATTTCATAGTAGTTGTACACTTATGCCAGTCATATATCTGTTCTTCTCTGAACCTCATTCATAAATCCCAGATCTTGTAAAACAAGTATATGAAGTTTATGCGTTACAGTTCTGCACGCCTCATGCTCAGTTCTTCATTTGTTCCAAGAGGAAACCCATTATGATCATACTTCATGCTCCATAGTTGTAGATCATATTAACGAGACGACTCTTAGCACTAGATTCATCATTCACTCATCGACACTTGCAAGATAAATTAGCCACTAATATGTTTTACTTTGCAAGTGCATCTCTTACTGAAACATGCACATCCTAGGAGGCGACCATGTTTAAACTTCAGATATACTCCCGTATGCCATTTGTGCACTGCTGTTTGTATAACCTCGTTCAGGCAACTGCATACTCGAAGCTAGTGACCACATCCAGAGGTGCATAGCCGGCGCTCACATCGTTCGCACAACGACCTCTGAGTTCACCGCACATGTCTATGCGAGCATAGTTTAGTGCCTATACCGTATCTTTGCGTCTATCTGTTGCCTCTACGAATGTTTGCATGGTAACCGTACACATGTTTTCCTTAGATTTCAACAGTTTTTCCTAGATGTTTCAGCAAGTTTCCCAGGTATTTTACATGTTTCCCCTAGATTTTTCAGCAGTTTCCCTACGTATTTTCAGCATTTCCTATGATTCAGCATGTTTGTAGATTGATCCAGCTGTTTTCCTATATTTTCAGCATGTTTCCCTAGATGTTTCCGGCATGTTTCCCTAGATGTTTTCAGCTAGTTTTCCCTAGATACATTTGCATTCATGTGAAGCTTGTTTTAAGAGTGCGTCAATAGACTTTGCCACGTGTTTGTAGGACTTGGACCTTTGCCTTGATCCGAGACGCCCAAGCAATAAGTCAGTGGAATTTAATAAAGTTATTTATAAAGTTTTGACAAAGCCTTGCTTGCGTTTAGAAAAGTATTTGATCAAGCATGAATGATTATCTCTATTTTGTAGACAAGTAATTAGCTTTGTTTGATACATTCTTGAAAGTCCCCATGCAGGGGATCTTAAGCCCAGTAGTGACATGTTGATGAGATCTGTCATCGACGTCTAATGAACGATGGCCCCACGAGTCTATGAACGGGTGGATTTGTCTAATCGATTCCGGGTCGATTATTCCTGTTTTTGTCCGGAATGTCATCACAAGTATTATGTAGATGTTATTAAACATCCCAAGCAAGATTTGAAAGACAAGATTTGATTATGAACTTGATTCACCATGCTTTGTTTGTACGATATTATGACATAGTATTGTTTGACAAGAACTCGGGAATCATTCATTTACCTTTATTACTATATTCATTCACTGAGTAAAGTCACCCTCCCTATATATATAGTAGTAACAAGTTAAGAAGTCTTCTACGCCGAGATGTGTGTTGTTATGCATGTTAGTCGGCAGTGAAACGTCGGCAATCTTGAAGCTTTTGTATTTGACATGTCGCTGAGAAGCCCTTCGTTAAGATGTGATATGTATTTTGTACTTCATTTCCTATGTATTCAAGTTGTAGCTATGTAAAGATGTATGCACATTTCATTTGACTTATGCACTGCTCTTATGGACAACTTGT